TAACATGGAGGGCTGTACACATGCTCTTGGGGGCTCTTTAACAGGCTTCTTGGCGAGTGGAACAACTACACAGCAGGGATCTGGGAACTGAGTAATGCCGGAATATAGGGGAGCCGTCCGTAGTTCTGCTCCTTCTAATGACACTTTACTCCATAGTTCAGCATGTAACAAAGTCTGTATTTAACTTAGCCATTTTCACACACAGTTTTAGTTCAACGTCTTTAGGCAGACACTAAAACTATATTCTAGCAAGAGACGGTATGAGTAATAATATTACTTCACAGGGAAAATTGTTTAAGATTATATATATATACACTTAAGACATTCATAATATATTTGTTGAACAATTTTAGTGTTTTCTTAACAGATATTTAGAATTTATTTTTATATACTAGTTCCAAAGTATGCTTGCCATTTTTTTTTCTGTGGCGTTAAAGAAAATAATCTTTAACCTGAAGGAAATAAAAAATGTCAAGTTCAAAGTTGTGGGACTGAACATAAAACATTTCAAAGGCAAATTAAAAAATAATTATTGTTCATTCTACTTGCAAAAGTCTTATTATAACAATAAGTTAAAATCAGTTTTGAATCTATGTCATTATTTTCCCTATTTTAACTTTTCCCTCTCTTTGCAATTTCCTTAACTATGTGTTCCTTCCCTACAATGAAATTAAACATGGGAAGCATGCCAAAAGTATAATAAAGGGTAACTAATCATTACTATACAAGTCTGACAGAATGCTAATAACTAAAGTAAGCACACCAATTGGCTGGTTTAACAATTCAAGAAATAAGGATATTTTATACAAAATACCTTTAATCTAATGTTAATTTATATAATGCACTCAAAGGTACCACAATTTTATTATCTATACATGCCAACTATATGTATGATAAAATTTTCAAGGATATCCAACCACATTTCTATTTCTGCCCAAAACCACTCTACTACCACACCCAAGCTCAAGTATCAATAAACCACATATACTACTTTTCTGTTCCATCCTATCTTTTACATTGTTGAAAAAGTTCCATGAGAATAGAAACCTTGTTTGTCTTGTTAGCTACTGTATCCCTATAGGTGCCTAGAACAGTGCCTGCATTATTTGTTAAATAAGTGTATAAGCTAAATTACCCACAGTTATTCAATCACCATTTAAACCCTAACTTACAATCTCCAGAGGTGGCACTGGTCATAGTGGACCTGTGAGAAGATCCTGTCAGTGTCTTCCACAAAAAGAGGCGGCAGGAGATTTCTATTGCTTTGATAGACTTTTATACCTTATTTTTTGTAGCCTTATCTCTGTTCAAATCCTCAGTTTTGGAGATCTGTTTAAGTAATAATAGTGAAGATGACAACTGCTAACATATATTGAATGCCTACTATGTGCCAGCACTGTTTAAGTACATATTATTACTAATCCTCTTAACTGGATACTTTTTGCTCCATTTTCACAGGTGAAGCTGAGGCTGAAAAAATTGAGACTTGACTAAGACTATGAAACTAGTTGGATCTATCTGCCTCTAAGATCTCAGGCTCTTTATATCATTGAATGCTACTTTGTGCACAGTTTGTTTCTAAATTTCAACTCTAGTATCTCTGTGGAACAATTAGCATAGCACAGTGGTTAAGATTATGGTAATAGGAGGTAGACTACTTAAGTCTAAATTCTGCCACTCATTAGCTGTGTGATCTTGGGAAAAGATAATGACAGTACCAACCATATGGGGTTATTATGAGAATTAAATGAGTTAAGATTTGAAAAGCATTTTGGACTGCAACTGGCCCATAGTAATCACCATGTAACTTTTATTAAATAAACTCACAGTGCCCTGGTTATATGTATTCGTACATCTTTGATTACTTTTCCAAGCATACTGCTTGCAATTCTTATTCTCTTTCCTTAGCCAAAAGACTGATTTTCCTTGACAGACTTTAAAAGTTATTAAAAGTTTTACCTCATATTTATATAATGATGGGTTGGAAGAAGTATATGTTTTATATTTTCTCCTAAACATTTTCATATAAAAACAAATATATGGTCAGATATCATGTTCAAAGAGCAAGGGAAAATTTATTTGTTTTTTATAACTCAATTGGTATTAGGGCCAGAAGACTACTATATGATAACTTTACAAAAACTGTCTAGGAATGAGAGATTGAAAATTGGGAAAATTTTAGAAGGCTGTGCATTTTTTTTTTTTTTTTTAAAAAAGACATTCTCTGTTTTGAGGAATATGTCTTAATTCTTTGTCACACTATATAACTTTATACTCATTACCAAAATCTAACCCTATATTTTGCTATGTCTATTTCAAAGGAGTCTCTTTACTGCTATGTTAAGAAGCATAAATTTAATCTATCTTCCAGTTATACAGGGGCTTAAATATATCTGTAAAGTATCAAAGTTAAAATATTGTTTCAGGTTCAAACATCGAGATCACTACATCATTCACTCATTATTTATTTATTTATTTATTTTTGAGACGGAGTCTCGCTCTGTCGCCCAGGCTGGAGTGCAGTGGCGCAATCTCGGCTCACTGCAAGCTCTGCCTCCCGGGTTCACGCCATTCTCCTACCTCAGCCTCCCCAGTAGCTGGGACTACAGGCGCCCGCCACTGCGCCCGGCTAATTTTTTTTCTATTTTTTAGTAGAGACGGGGTTTCACCATGGTCTCGATCTCCTGACCTTGTGATCCGCCCGCCTCGGCCTCCCAAAGTGCTGGGATTACAGGCGTGAGCCACCGCGCCCGGCCTCATTCACTCATTATTTAATCAGTGGTCTAGATAGGCTGACTTGAGGTCATCTGATAGTATCTGCTGTTCCCTTAAATGAGGGTACAGGATTCACTGTCACAGACATCCACAATGGGAATCTCTTCCTTAAGTGATAAAGATGCTCACCAACAAAATGGCTTTAAAAAAGTGTTTTCCTTTTCTTTCTTTCCGTTTTCTCACAGAGGCCCCATTGGAATAAAATTTAAAGTTACATATATACACATTTTTTTTTATAATTGTTTTTCTTTGCTTTGCAATTATGTAAAAGGCTAGAATGGAATTCTTGGTTTAATCTTTTATATGTACTAATTTATCAAATATTTTACACTAATAATTTTCTTTTAAAAATGTAGAATAATTACAATATTAGCCAATAACTTTTTTTTCCTAATAGAAACTTAGTGCCATCAAAGGTAGTTAATAATTCAGGACACATAGGATACAGTGTGACAGAGGGGAAGGAGTTTAAATTTTTGAGTTAACCAGATCTGAGCTTGAATACCAGCTTAAAATGTAAAACAGATATGGGATATTGGATAATCATTTAACTTTAGTTTAGTTGCCTTTGCAATTGAAATCACAGCTATCTTGCAGGGTTTTTGTGATGATTAGTGAAGCCATATAATCTAATGCTGAGGATGATAAGGTTTGAAGTCAGGTAAGGACACTGGCCTGCTACTTATTAACTGGGTGACCCTGTGGAAACAGAGGTAAAACAACCTGTTTCACAGGGTAGCACTGAAGATTCAAGGACCTAATGCTTGTAAAGTGCTTGGGATGTAGCACATGGCTAATAAATAATTGTAGTAATAGCATAGTAGTAGTAGTAGTAGTATAAGTAGTAGTATTTTCATCAGTATCTGATAAGTCTGTTTCATGTTTATTTATCATAAAAAGCTCACCATGTCTAACCAAACTATTATTTGAGTACTAACTTTATGATAACTTATTAACAAGGAAAGCAATACAAGTATGTGTACAATGTCTAGCATGATTAGAGAAAGGAGTTTCCTTATGATATGTCTGCAATTTTAAGCTAATGATAATAATTTAGATCCAGACACAATGTATAAAAAGTCCTTCAAGGAAAACTGAGTTATCCTCTGCTGACCATTATAAATAAATAAATTCTACTGGCCAAGTAGACCAAATTCACTTCTTTTAAAATTTAATTTAATTTTTTATAGAAATGGGGACTTGCTGTTACACAGGCTGAACTTCTTGCCTCAAGTGATCCTTCTGCCTCAGCCTCCCAAAGTGCTGGGATTATAGGTGTGAGGCACTGCATCTAGCTAAATTCACTTTTCATTTGTCACACTTTTCAGTCATATTTGCTATATATGCTGTATATAATGAATGTAACTAAATGTCATTTTAATACATTTGCTATTTGCAGGTAGGGTCTAGGTATGTTGGAACAGAGACACCAAATTACGTAACTTTATAATAAGGATTCAATATTCATTTAATTAACATTTACTGATTATCTAGGAAAAGCCTAGGTACTGTGTTAAGAATTTTAAAACCACGTTTAATATTATGTTATTACCATAAAGCCTATAAAGAAACATATAAATATCTGGCCCTCCGTCTATGGAGACTACAATGTAGTAGATATATAAGATCATATGAAATCACATGCCTGAGGCAGACAATATGTACTTAAGTAAACGATACTGATATTAACATATACTTTACATAAAATATTAATTAAAGAAAGAAACTAAAAGCTGTTTCAGAACACGAACTAAAACTGGAAAAAATTCAAATGGAAACACATTGATTCATTAGTAAAAGAAAAAACTCTAAAATGTTTAGAAGAAAACATAAGAAAAAGACGTTGGAGAGGGCAAAGACTGTAAAGATTGGAGGTGTGAGGGAGGTAAACCACTAACCACTAAAAAATTTATAAATTGAACTTCATCAATATTGAAAACTTTAGCTCTTCAAAAGACATTGTTAAGAAAATAGAAAAAGCAAGTCATAGATAGGAGGAAAATTATTACCAAGTTGTAGCTAAAATATCAAGGAACTTTACAAATTGATAATGAGACTATCAATAAAAAATGGACAAAAGACAGACAAAAGAAGATATGCAAATGGCCAGAAAGCACATGAAAAGATGGTCAACATCATGAGTTATCATGGAAATGCAAATTAAAACCACGATGTCATACTATATTACCATGAGTTATGAAAAAATAGTTCTGGAAAGTTCTTACCTGGATCAGATGTGTTGGCATTGTGATGATGCAGGCTGAAAGAGAGGTTCTCAGAAGACCACGGAGAACATAGAGGAACTTGGTAAGGCTGTGACTGTTGCTACCATTTTCTACACAGCAAATATCATCTCCCCATAAAGGTGAGCCAAGATTCTGAATTCCTATTCTTAAAACGTTTCTTTGTTTTTTCTAAAAGAAAGTGGGAAAAAAGCAAACATATAAAGCTTTGTTAATCAATAGAATACTACTTTTATCTGTCAGTTCTTATCTTTATTTATAACATCAGGGAGATAATGTCAATAGATGTGTTAAAAAATTTTACGTACTATTAGTACATTAAGCAATATAAATGAAACTGTTTTGATCACAAGATTATAAAAAATAACATTTTTTTAACTTTTGAAAAATCTGAACAGTATCATACGCCTTAAGCTTTAAATTGTATCTAAATTCTAACAGCCACAACTCTAAGGATTATATTTAATGCACTTAAAATATTTAATAAAACAGATAATAATGAAATCTTAACTAGAATGCTTGCAAACCCCTTGTCAGTATTAGAAAATTCTGTCTTTCAGTAAACTATAAATTGTACAATATTTCTCATTTAATTTTATCCTACCTACCGCCTGATCTTTTCTTTGAAAAAAACTTTAAAGATACATGACTTTTTGGTTTTATATTTTACATTTGCCTCTGGTTTTTCTTCTTGAAGCTGCTCTTAAAATAATAATTTAAGTTCAACACTTTTCATAAAATTTAACAGGTGAACATTTAGAACTTGAGCCTACCGACATTAAGGTCACAATAAGTGACTATATTTCTTGGGAAAAGAACATTTAAAAACTATTAATGAAACTGTGAATAAATCACTGTGAATAAACGTTTAACAACAGATGTGCTTATAATAAATTCTATTGTTTGGGTTATTCTAACTAAGTAAATGTTTTGTAAATACTTTCCTTAAAAATTCAGCAAAATTTCTGATCAAAGGAAGAACGCGTTAACAAAACCTGGCATGTGCAAATAATTGAAAATTCATTATTAGAATTGATGGGAAAAGTAAGATGGCTCTAACTTTTTATGGCTTTAACATAATTTGGAATGCGTGCTGCTTTATATGTGATTTCTGATGAAACAAATTCCTAAAATGTATCACTTGCTATTGCTATAAAATACCCCGATAAAATTTATTAACCAACTAGTTATTGTCCAACACAATATATCTATTTCCCTGATATTACAAATGAAACTGAATTTGTGTATTCCTTTTTCAAGCAGAATTTATTGATCATGGAAAGTAAGAAAAATGAATAAAACATTGAAATGTTAGAAGACAAAAGTCTAAAGGAACATAAGCTAGTAAATGAATAAGAGAGAATTATAGTCAGGACTGTGTAACTAAGTAGATGGATGATTCCGGACAAGACACACACATTACTTAGGACTTCATTTTCTCTTTCTTTTCTTTTTTTTTTGAGACAGTGTCTTTCTCTGTTACTCAGAGTGCAGTGTCCTTACTATAGCTCAGGGTAGTCTCGAACTCCTGGGCTCAAGTGATCTTCCCACTACCGCCTCCAGAGTAGCTGGGACTAGGGGCATGTGCCACCAGATCTAGCTAATTTTTCTTTTATTTTTTTTTGCAGAGACAGGGTCTTCCTATGTTGCCGAGGCTGACCTTGAACTCCTGGACTAAGCAATCCTCCTGCCTCAGCCTCCCAAAGTATTTGGCTTACAGGTGTTAGACACTGCATCCAGCCAGTTTTTTTCATTTTAAAATTAAAAGGAGAGGCCAGGCGCTGTGGTTCACACCTGTAATCCCAGCACATTGGGAGGCCGAGGAGGGCAGATCACCTAACGTCAAGAATTTGAGACCAGTCTGGCCAACATAGTGAAACCCTGTCTCTACTAAAAATACAAACATTAGTCAGGTGTGGTGGTGTGCACCTCTATTCCCAGCTATTTGGGAGGCTGAAGGCAGGAGAATTGCTTGAACCTGGGAGGCGGAGGTTGCAGGGAGCTGAGATTGCATCACTGTACTCCAGCCTGGGTGACAGAGTGAGATTCCATTAAAAAAAAAAATTAAAAGGAGAGAAGAAAACATTGTTGCTCTATGATTCAATACAACTGAAGGGATATAATGGCCTGGATAAGACTATAAGAATGAAATTACAAAAAAAAGGATTTTAGAATAAGCGTATTAGAAAAAAACTTTCTGACTCTAAGGATCTAAAATATGATCGCACTATGTAGGCAGTTGGTTCAATATCTTAAATGATTGTGTTAGACTTATGATAGACAACCACCTAAGACACCCTATGTTATCATCCTCAATGGTCCACAAAAATTGTTTTCTTTTTATTTCTGCATTACTTGAATGAAATGAAGTAATGAGATGTACCAGGGCTTAGGTTAGAAGTATAAATACATTTCTGGTGAATTAGTGTAAGATATCTGTAAAATATGATGGGTTATTCTTTTTTCTTTATTATTTAAAACCTCAGAATTTAAGTAAAATGGCAAGAATGTAAAGTTCATTTTGCTATCTCTAAATTTGTTATCTCATGATAACAAACAAGTTAAGATTCCCAACAGAAAGAGCATTCTAGAAAAAGGGAGAGAAACATACAAAAAAAAAATCTAGATATTAGAATGAAACATGAAGGTAAAACGAGAGCAGGATAATATCGTTTTCTCTGTCAACATTTCAGAAACTAAAGATCAACAGTATTTTAACCCACTGTCTCATTACCTATTATTGTATTAAAAAGTACCAGATAAAAGTTTATAACAAAAATGCTGTTAGGCATGAAATTAGGAGAACTACAGAGGTTTAATGATTCTGACAGATACACTGATATATGTATATCAAGTGAATGAAAATATTAAGCCAAAAAATGAATGAGGGATAAGATATTTAAGTGAGGTTGGTACCCAGCACAACAGAATATAATTGAGCATAATACTTCATTTATATTTTAAAAAATATAATGGTAATTGCAAAAACAAAGGCTGAATTATAAATCTCTTGTGTCCTTTAGGATCTACAATTCCTTTGCTATGCCATATAATAATGGGGCATACTGTGTGGCATAAGATTTAAAAAATGAACCTTGTCAGCTGTACAATAAATAGTTTTATTCCTATGAGAACATCCAAAATATTTAATCTGGTATTCTAAGTAAAATCCATGTCAAATTTCATTTTTATCATATATTTCTAAGATATTTAAAAATAACAACTTAAATGAAATTATGAGCACAATTTGTAAATGTCTGCACTCTAATTATTTTTATAGATTAGCTACACTACTTTACTTACTACCAAGGCTAATTATAAGGTAGTATACAATATTCTGTATTTCTATATGTTGTCTCAAATTAGTTCAGTTTATTTGAAAACATAATGTTTGAAAAAGATAAAACTTTTCTTTTAAAACATAAGATTTATTTCAATGTCAGAACATTATTCTTGACTTAGGAATAATATTTTTTGAAGTAGTGCCTTGTAGGTGTATTTCTGTGGCTTCTAGAACTCATCTAAAGTTTCTGAGACAGATACACGGACTAACAAGTAATTTAGCAAACACTACAATTAATTTAAAGAAGAAAATTCATTATATTTTAGTTGCAATAAAATTGTAAGTATAATTCTATAATAATGTATTGGTATATTTTAATTTAAAAACAGTTTTGGTATTCACCATATGAATGTCTACCTGAACGCTGTTTAATCTTCATAAAAGTCAGTAATTATAGAATTTCTGGTTCAGAAAGCCAAACCAGCACCAGTTTGTTGTCTATCAATTTTTGTGGGGGAAAAAAAAATTGTTTCTTGAAAATAGTGGTGTTTTCACAGTCAAATAAACAACTAAGAGAACAAATGTTTTATTCTATTCCTATACTAGCTTACTTAGTAAGGATTTTTAAGATGTATCTCTGTGTGTGTGTGTGTATTCCTTTTGCTATTACCTTTGCTTTTGGGATTCTATAAAATTTCTTACTCTCAGAAGATATGTCATCATCCTGCAAGAGCAGCAGCTCTGCACACTGTACCATAGGAACTGTTATGACATGCCTGTTTCCATAGTTACCACAGCAAGTCGGGAGAGGTGTCTGTCAGGGACCAATTTACCTCTCCAGACAAGCACTGGCATCAAAGAAAAGACACAGTACCCACGAATATTAGGTAGGGCCAAAAATGGAGCAACACTGAGCAAAATAAAATTGTATTAAATACTAAAGGCTGTCACAAAAATTATGACATACATGAAAAGCCACCTATAAATAAATGTCTGTACTTTATCATACACACATAAGTATTTTCAACCTGCAATTAAACTGGCAATCAAAACAAATTGAAAAATAATTTATTTTGCCATGGAAAAACTGCTAAATATAATAATAAAGTTTACAAGAATATTTAAAAATCCATGAATTAAGCACAAATGTAGCTGATAATGCCAAAAATAAGACTTTCAGCTTCTCTGTCTTCAATAAAATAATGGTGCTTTAGAAAGACTTCTGCTAAAATAATACAAATGTAATGCAAATCATTTAGTAGCAAAAGCAATTAAAATCACTGTGGAAGAATTCTGAAAGGCATGATATGTAGAAATAAAATCTTTCACATTTTGTTTAAGTTAAACTAACCAGAACATCTTTATTAGTGGAAATTTGGAGGAAGTTTTAAAAATTAGAGCTACAGAGAAATTGTCGTTATAAGATACTTAATATGGCAAATAACGTATTTTTTAATTCAATAAAACAAAGCATAATGTAATAAAATCTTAAGATAATTCTTACTCATAAGGTAATTTGAAATTAAGGTCGAATGACAGAAACAGGAACAATTTAAATAGAAAAGTACAAACCTTGCAGATTTAAAAGTAATTTTCAAAATGCAGCTACTTAATCCTAAATGCTACAAATGCATATTTAAAAATGATGTTGATAAAGCATGTGTATGTCTTATGTGCCTCCACTGAGAACTTAGCTGAAACTCTAAATACACAGTAACAGTCAAACTAAAGCTGCTTGTGCTCTGCTTATTTACGTGTACTGTGCTTGAAAACAGCTTGTTCTCTGTATATTATTCTAAAACTTCTGGGTTGCCACCCCTAAAGAATTTGAAAACAGCATTATATAAATAATTATAAAAGACTTTGAAGCTATTTAATACCTGAGGATTGGATCCATCAAATCCTTCCTCATAAATGATGTTCTGGATAAACTGAAGCAGCTTTATGTAGCCAGGGGTCAAAGAACTGTTGGTAAAAGAAGTGGTTCAAATACATAAATGGGTTATTAGACAGGAGGTACAAAATCTATGCTAAAACATTAAGTAAATAATTAAAAGGCATACATTTATTAGATTACTTAAGAATGTCAAAATAGTATTATATAATCCTAAAATATAAAGTCAGTACATACAAGGAATAAGTTACAACGCTTTATAATAACTTGCTCAGTGTTCCTGACATCATGGGGAGATAAAAACCTGTGGAGACTAAGATGACTTAATTATGTCAGGCTTAGTTACCTCCAAGAAAATTAATGATTTAATGAAGCAACCTAAAAGATGAAGCCACTATAGATCTTCAGGAGTAATCATACATAATTAACACATACTTAATGAACTGCTATGCCAAGTACACCTGAATCAATGTCCTGATCACCTGAGCTTCCATCTTCCATCAAAGTTAATTTTCTTAGAACTTCTAAAATAATAGTAATTTTAAAAGTTGATTTTTTCAGACACATGAAGAAAAGTGAGTATAATCTTCACTTCCTTTGTTAAAAGAAGGCAATAAATGGATGAATTTAAGAAGAAAACCAAATTTATTTTCCATATAAATACTAGCATTAATGTTATTGTTTTAAAATATTTTACAAATGCTATGAAATATCTCAAAGAATCTTTAGTAAGCATGAGGAAAATCTGCTTTACATTATCTGAAGTTAAGATTCTGCATAATGGACAATCTGTGTGCTATGACTGAACATTAATGTCATGATAATGTCATGAGCATAGCAATTCCATAGACATTGAAGTGCCTAATGTTGTAAAAGCTGTGGGTGACCTTAAAATTACACAAGTATTTGCTTTACTGTGATCCTAAGTAAACAATCACATAGGCAGAAGAAATATCCTAAAGAAAGAATGAAATCTAATTTGAAGCATGAATGCAGCAGTAGAGAATATAAAATGTTAGGAAATATAGCAGACTGCTTAGTGTGCAAAATCAATGGTAGGTGGTTCAGGAAAAATATCTGTACATCTCTGTAAACATGTAATTGAACAGCCACAATAAATCCAAAAGTGTCTATCTTGCAAAAACAAAACAAACAAAAAAATGCTGTTGTGTACAAAACAAATACAGCTCCAGATAATGAAGAATTTGGTAGTTTGGCTATTTCTCATACAGTTATTTTTCCATTTTCAGTGAAAATGCTGTAGATTACATAGATATATTTTTTTTCACGAGTGTGGAAATATGTGTAAAAATAATATTCTGTAAGGGCAATTTTATGACTATTTCATATCTTAACACACATTTGTCCCAGCTACATCAACCTTTCAGAACACAGTGCTGCTGTCTGAATGCAGTAGATTCAATTCTAATCTGGATCAATTTGCTTTGCACAAGGGGTAAAATCTGCAAGCTTTCAGATTATGAAATGAATTCCAGCCAACCATCTGATGAATGTCACTATGGGTTATAGGAGAGTGGATCAAAAATATAGCCAATGCATTTTAATCCACTAATAATAATTCTACCCCAAACCATTATTATTTCATATAGTAAAAATAGGGGATCATGCAATATTCATCTTTCTGTGTTGGGCTTATTTCATTTACCATAATGTCCTTCTTATTTCATTTACCATAATGTCCTTCTGTTTCATCCGTGTTGTCACAAATGACAAGATTTCTGTTTGAAGGCTAAAAGTCCATTGTGTGTGTGTACACCACATTTTCTTTATTCGTTTATCCCTTGATGAACACTTATGTTGATTCCATATGTTGATTATTGTGAATAATGGTACAGTAAACATGGGAGTGTAAATATGTCTTCAACATACTGATTTTATTTCCTTTACATATACAGTCATGCGCTGCATAGGGACGTTTTGGTCAATGATGGACCACGTATACAATGATTGTCCCATAAGATTAGAATAGAATTGAAAAATTCCCATCATCTAGTGATGTTGTAGCCATATTACTCACATGTTTATGGTGATGCTGGTGTAAACAAACTTGTCCTAAAAAGTACAGCACATATAATTATGTATGGTACATAATAATAACAAATGACAATTTTACTGGCTTATGTATTTACTATACTATACTTTTTATTGTTAGAATATACTCCTTTTATTTATTGAAAAAAAAAAAAGCTAACTATAAGACTCAGGCAGGACCTTCAGGAGGTATTCCAGAAGAAGGCATTGCTATCACAAGAGATGACAGCTGTGTGTGTGTTACTGTCCCTGAAGACCTTCCAGTGGGAAAAGATGTGGAGGTAGAAGATAGTGATATTGATAATGATGACCCCACACAGGCCTAGAGTAATGTGCGTGCTTGTGTCTCGGTTTTTAACAAAAAAATTTTACAAGTAAAAAAATTAAAAATAGCAAATAGAATAAGAATATAAAGAAACAATATTTTAGTAGAATTGTGCAAAGCGTGTTTTAAGCTGTTATTACAAGAGTGAAAAACTCATTTAAAATGCAAAAGTTTATCAATTAAAAATGTTACAGAAGCTAAGGTGAATTCTTATTGAAGAAAGGAAAATATTTTTAATAAATTTAGTGCAGCCTAAGTGTTCAGTGTTATAAAGTCTACAGTAGTATGCTTTAGTATATTAGGCCTTCACGTTCACTTACCACTCCTTTACTGACTCACCCAGAGCAACTTCCAGTCCTGTAAGCTCCATTCTTGGTAAATGCCTTATACAGGTGTACCCCTTTTTATCTTTTAGACTATTATTTACTGAACCTTTTCTAAGTTTAGAAACACAAATACCTGTATTAAAATTGCCTATTCAGTCCAGTAACATGCTGCACAAGTTTGTAGGCTAGGCCCAAGAGAGTACTATAGAGCCTAGGTATGTAGACTGTACCATGTAGGTTTGTGTAATTACTCTCTATGATGTTTGCACAATGATGAAATTGCCCAATAATGTATTTCTCAGAATATATTTCCATTCATAAGTGTCAAATGACTGAATGCTCAGAACTGGGGTTGTTGGATATGTTGGTTCTCTTTTTGATTTTTTAAGGAACCTCTATACTATTTTCTACAATGGCTGTTCTAATTTATATTTCTACCAACAGTATTCCACCAACAGTATACAAGGGTTCCTTTTTCTCCAAATCATCTCCAACACTTCTGTCTTTTTGATAACAGTCATTCTAACAGGTGTGAAGTGAAACTTCATTGTGTTTTTAATGTACATTTCCCTGATGATGAATAATGTTGAGCACTTTTTCATATACGTATTGGTCATCTGTATGGCTTCTTTTGAGAAATGTCTATTTTGGTCCTTATCTAATTTTTAAATTGAGTTATTTGTTTTCATGCTATTGTGTTGTTTGAGTTCCTTAATATTTTCAACATGAACCCTTTTACTAGACATATGATTTGCAAATATTTTCCCCCATTCCATAGGTTATTTTTTTACTCTGTTGATTCTTACCATGTTGCACAGAATAGGGGGTTCTTTGATATGAGAATAAAAAGGAAGATGCGAAGCCAATACTTCTTAATTTCTTATTTAACCCTGACAGTTCAATCATCAACAATGCTTAAAATTTTATAAGTAATAAAATAAATTCCTCTAATTAGATTTCTAGAAAAATAAACTATTTGATAACAAATAAAATGGAATAAATCAATAGATTTAGGTATATAAATTGTGAATATTAATTTTTGAATATATGGGATTAAATCATTTAAAACTGAAATTATTTACATGATATTGATACTAAAATACTAAGTACCGTTAATCTCCATGTTTCTTTGCCAGCAATGTTTATAGTAATATATATATACACACACACACACACACACACATATATCTTTTTGCTGAAAATCAGTATCTTCTATTGTCATCTAAAATTTTGGTTTGTTATTAAAATCCTTTGCTTTTGAGGATGTTTACTCTTGTGTGTGTGTTTAGTAGTGTAGGCACTGATAAAACAGGAGTTGGCAAGAAGTAAACCCAGTTAAAAAGATCCTGGCTTCTTTACTAATGTTTCCAAACATTCAACAAAGATTACGTTATCAAAGTATTTAAAACATGTTTCAAAAGTGGCACATTTCTAATCATTTTGTGATCACATTATATGAATTTATATACTATTTTGCCTGATTTTCTTATATTTTCAACAACTTTTATATTACAATGATGTATTTTGAGATTCTACAATGTGCCTTTAAAACTATTAGCTATACAAAGAACATAAAAACAATTACTAGAACTTTACTTTTTACCTTTAAAATACCATTTAATATTTTCTTTAGTTAAAAAAGTAAAATTGTTCCATGTGCATTATTCATGCTTTTCTGCTAATATTACCATGCAGTTTAGCAAGAATTTATTTCTTTATACTAATATATAAACATGGATAAAAGGGGCCAAATGACACAAATGTAAACCTGTTTTCTGATGACAAAGTTTAATATTTTTTAGAGATGATAGAAAAAAATGAAACTCATGCTTATCAATATTCTATCCCCCATCTCTAATTTTCCTCAAGAAGTCTAAAGCACATTTGCATCACATAATTTTAATTCCTATCAACAAATTGCATTGGTTTTGCTGTGAAAAGTAATGTTGTCATTCACTCTCATTAAGAAAGATAAAAACATTAGCTATAAGAAAAAGAAACAGATGTAGTATTCTACAAAAGAAATCAAGCACAGGTAGATGATAAATAACAGATAAAAACTACAGTTTTGGAAACAAGCAAAGGAATGCTTAGCAAAAGTCTTCAAAGAAACACTTAAAAATCTTTTAATAATTAAGAAAAAGGAAAAAAAGTCACTTCAACTGAGGGGTTTAATAAAAAAATATTTAAATATGAGTAAATAACAATATACAACACTGCCACCACCAACAAAAAACCTTGGGTAACAGGAGACAAGATTTTATCAGTGAAAAGGTAAGTTACAAAAATAAGATCATGTACATGTGATATTAAAATAACTTGTTGATAAGTGAAAAATCTATACATAGATAACAGGCTCTTAGGTTGA